ACCAATCTATTCTCAAACAAATTAAGTTACAGTATATGAGAGAAAATTTAAAAACGTACGTTTTCAGGAAAAGCACTTTGCAAGTTTGTTTCCCCTTTTTTCAAAACTTTTATTATTTTTTTATTTCATTAACATTTGAAGTTTCATAAAATGTCCATGGTAACGCAATATCTTTGGTAGTTATTTTTTAAAAGAGCATCTTTAGTAGAAAAACACAAAATCCTGTCACGACCATAACGGACGTTTAAATGAATATTAAAAATGGTTAATATTATTTTTATAACTATGTTTTGCTATAAACTAAATTACTTTTATGACCATTAAACAATAAAAAGGTCACTAAGCTTTTGGTATATTTGGTCTTTATTAGAAAAAAATAAAAAAACTCAAAAAATTGAAAAAAAGCCAATAAAATCTTTTTAAGTTTGTATAACTACGAAAAAACTTACCTGAGACCCGAAAAATCGTTATGTTTGTATAGAGGTGTGCTTCTTTTGTGTATAAAACATTGAAATATGACGATATTTTAATTTTTGAAATTGTTATGATAGAAATCATAAACGTGATGGTCAGGGACAAGCGGTACGGTCGTGAATTGTCTGGAATAATTTAAATCTTTCTAAGCAATCCTTCAATTATACTGTTAGTTATAATAAAAACATGTGTTTCAATTTAACTAAACTGTTCAATTTACAATTATATTAAAGTTATTGTCACGACCAAACACACTATAATCCATAAGGCTGGATTGGTCGTGAAAAAACCCGCGATGGTCGTGAAACTTTGGTTGTGAAATTACGTGTTATTTGGCTCTGTTCTGGCGGTAGCCCTGCACCTCATGTTCGAGGATACAAAGTGGACTTCTAGGTTAATCTAGCAATTGAAATATCTTATAAACAAAAATTAACACCATGTCTACTTCATCGAATGACTACGTACGGTCATGGACACACCAAAATTACAAAAAAACACGATCTTTCCTTTATTAATCTTGTAATTCCTCCTTTCAACTCGTAACGACCGGCACTACAATCCTGACGTACACCCCGAACTAGTCTCTCAAACCAACTGACTCCATCGACACCAGGCTTGCCACTGTCGTGCTCCAAAGTTGAAATTTTTTCCCAATTGGTCGTGACGCCAAATCGAGGGACAGACTTATTTTGTCATGGTAGTCAGTTTGCAATGACAATAAAATTATAATATGCTTTTTTTGTAAGTTTAATAACCATTGATGACATAAAAATATGGCTTTATATATTTCGGCATGAATAATTAGTCTAAAAACAGCGTGAAAGTTGGAAAATGTACCCTAGGGACACGTCATGGTCGTGAATTTTGAGACTTTAAAAATACGAAAAAAATACCTAGAACCTATTTAAAACCAAATAAATGTGTGTAACATGTTGCCCCCATCCCAAAAAATATTAAAACACATAATAATAAACTATAAATCCAGTATCTACGAAGTAAAAGGCCAGGGAAATGAAAACGTACGTTTTTAAATTTTCACTCATATGTTTCGGGTTGATGGCTTTGGTTTGGAACCATACGGTGGCGCTGCTGACTGCTGGGATATTATGTTATGGTGTATAATATTAATTTTGGTTTCTCTTTACAACCACTTGGACTCTCAACTGTATTTTTAGAGACTACCTGCACACTTTAGAGCAGAGCATATTATTTTAAGGGATTTTCACTGGGTGGCAGCTAGTGGCGCCGGACTTTCCGGGGGTCTGGGGTATACCCCCCAGTAAAACAGGGGAGTCTTAAATATCTTTTAATAAACTTTCCAATAATCTTTGCTTTTTAATAGTCCATATAATAAATATCTCACTTAATTACGTATTCTAGAACCTTGTAACTGGCCAAGGCTCCCTTCACAACCTCTTGGGCCAAAATCATAGCTCAATTTCAAAAGTGTTAGTTAACAATAAAACAATTTTTGTACACAAACATGTTTAAAATATCTACGTAAAACCATTGACTGTATAACACTACACGTAGTGTTATATAGTCAATGGTAAAACCTAAAATGACAATATAAATTTCCACTTTTTATTTTGACAGGTTAATATTTACACAATGTTATTTTTTAAATACTTTTTAAATTCTGATAAATTAAAATGATTGAGAATCATTAAAAATTACCATCCACAGCACCACCACCAATTATCACCACCACAGCCACTAGGCGACAAAATCTCAGCAAATAAATAGTAAACTCTTACCTTAGCAATCCTTAATATGGTTGTCCGATATTAATTTCGAACCCGTAGGTTCATCTTCAGTCGGAAGTTTAAGATGAACCTACGGGTTTGAAATTAATATCAGACAACCATAATAAGGATTGCTAAGGTAAGAGTTTACTATTTATTTGATTATGTAAGCAATCCAGAGGCTGAAATGATAGAAAATCTCAGCACTGTTTTTTTTTTTCAGTTAACCTTCGAGCGGGCGCTTGTGGAGTTTTCCTCCGCACTTGTAGTTTTTTGCGAATTTCCCATATAGGGAATAAGCTATTGTTAATATAATGCGTAATGGGTGTCGGCAGTCGTGTCCAGCTCTACACTTCACACGGACTTCATCCTTGGAATGCCCCTAAGCTATTCTTACCCCCAAATTCCTCCTCATTTTGTTGTCAGTTGCAATTTAGTGGTGCGGTGTCAGTTTGCGGAGGTTTACTCCACATGCGCCCTATCGCGTAATTCCTTTGCGCAGAGTTTATTTCTTATGCGCTATTGTCAAACTGCGTATATATTTTATACACACAAAATTATAAACATGTTTAAATGTATTATTTCATTTATAATTATTATCAAATATGTACATGTATAATTGTATTATTGCGGAACAAAATTCCACACACGCCCTCCCTCGTAACATACCTTTATAATAGAAAATTGCTCAATATGATATTTTAAATATTACTCATATAAAAGTTAAACAAAATAATGTTATTAACAAAGAAATTAGGTTTCTGATTAGGTTATTCAACATTTACATATAATATTTCGTTATTTCGGTATAACAACAAGTAAAATGGGTAAAATTTGTGCTATTTAGTGTTGCGGAATAAAACTCTGCATGCCCCGCTCCTGTTTTACTGGTGAAGCGCCTCCTCGAGGGTTAACATGTTATTTTTTGCCCTGCTTTAGAGAAAGTTTTTCTTCAACCAACATTTTATATCAACAGACAGAGATTTAAACATAAAGAAAAGTGACTATCAACATGTAAGCCACTTATAACGTGTACAATTTACAACAGTAGTTAAATCCCTAACATTAGTTCAAATTATTTTCAAATCATTAACTTATTCATACAAATTGAATTTACTACAGTTTATAGTGGAATCCGAACCACATTTTTGCATCAGGATAGTACTGCGGATAGTCGTAGTACTCACTCGTGCGGACGTTAATCCACACCAGGGAGTATCGCATCCACAGTGCATGACTATAAATATTCACAATTCAAGAATCCACGTTGTTATCAAGTTAAGTGGTACTGTACGTTGAATTTCATTTCTAAATTAAATGGAGGATGAAATACAACCATTATACGACATTTTCAAGGAACCAAAAAAGTCTATTCTGCCTGCATTTTGAGCCAGTTGCAAGACACGGTTATATATGCAGCTATAGTATTTTATAACTGTTTTACATGCTGATGAGCTAAATAATTTATGACAAAAAGTAACTCATAATCTTAATTTTACTTACGTAAGGGCAGAAAAAATATAAAATCCCTTTATCCTTTGGTGCACCCCTGTAGTATTCTTGAGTCATTTTATGTTTGTAAAAATACGTATATTTAGTAAACAGCTTAAGTAAACAGTTTTTTTCAAAGTAAATACTTTACATATTCGTTTAATTGAGTTAAGTTACTTAATTGTAGTGGATATACAAGCCCTAAAAGTCCAACTGAGACGGAGGGAAACCTTGGGTGTGTAGTGTTTAACCACTTCCAATATTTGGAAGAATGGTAGGTAAACAAAATTGATTTGATGACCCAAATATACTCTGTTGTTTTATCTTTAAATCATTGCAAGTTAGACCAAATGCACCTTCACATGCTGCAAAATTACGAATTGACCTTGGATATTTTCAAAATCCAAAATATGTAGCCCACTATATTTATAACTTTGGTTTTAATATACAGAAAACATCCTCATTATAATGCAAAGTAGGCCCAGAACACTATATAATAAAGGCCTTATACTGTTTTAAAAATATTGTTGAGTTCAATTTTGTACAATAATTCAACTTGTATGGACAGTAACACATGTAAAGGGCTGTTTTTACTGCAGTATAACAAAAATGTATAAGAGGCCTTATTGACTAATTTTGTGTGCAAAATACAATTTGTAAAAAATACAAAATTTTCTTTTTTAACACTTATACTTTCAAACATTTTCCTGAGACCAAGATGTATCTGAGACTTCCCTCTTATTCCTTGACCCCCAGACCGATGGCTTGCATCCCCTCTACAATTTGTTGGCTTTCCCTTTGGTCAATAATTTATCAAATGAATGCAATGATCTTGATACATAGGGATTACAGGATGCCCTATGTCCATATTGAGATAAGATATAAGTTCAAATGATTATTCTGAGAGTTGTATCAGAGTAAATATAAACCTTTTGTTGGTTAAAAGTTATTGCTTGTTCCGAGAAATGAAATTTTCACCACGTAAAAATCTATTAGAGAACGAGAACTTCTCTACCTGCTGAAAAATAAGTTTTTAACCATTCTGGAATGAGGTGTGTATATGTGAAGCTAACTTTTAGCTTATCAAATGTTTGCTTTGCCTTAATGTTAGCTTATAAAATGTTTGAGTAGCTGTCAGGACTAATAACTGGACCCTCCCTCCTGAATCAATAATATTACAGTAGAAGGAGTATGGAAATAATTTTCTATCCAACTCCAACATCACTACAGGCCCCTTCTAGGTAAAGGAAAACCAAATACGGTATTTAAAATTAGAAAATGCATAATGAAATGAGTGTGAGTGAACAATCAAAGAGCAGAGTGTCCATTGCTTTGTCGAGAGTTACTAGGGAGTTTTGTAACAAAACATCAATACACGGTCTAAAGTACATCACTGAGCCAAACCGCACCTTTGGTGAAAGGTAAGTTTGTTATTTAAATAAAAGTAATGCAGTTTGAAATAAACATATATTCTCTAAAATCACTTTTAGCAGTTTTTGTTTTTGGAAAATAAAGATTTAACTACCAAAACGTTTAGTAAGCATACTCTGTACTGTGGTATGAGTTACAGGAACTCACATGACATTTTTTTAAATTTCCGAGCTTTGGGATGCATTTCTAAAAATAAATGCAATGGAATCATCAAATCATTTTAACCTTAGATATTTTTGTGATAAATTAAATATAACACAACTAATTAATTGCGTTTATCAGGACCTACTGGATAGTAGCGACCATGCTGGTGCTTGTGTTTGCCTTACTCTTGATGATCAGTTTCTTTGGTGACATCATCAACACTCCCACCAGGGAGAGCATTCTACCTCACCAGTACCCAACGTGGCTTCTGCCATTCCCTGCGATAACATTCTGCAACTCCAACCTCATCTTCCTTTCCAAAGCCATGGACTTCATAAAATCCATGTAAGTTGCGGCTGTGACAAAGTCCTGTGAAACACATTGGTCGATTTAAAGGTAAAGTAGGTATCACAAGTCAACAAAAAACATCCTATAACTCAACGTCCAAAGTCTTAGGTCTGAATTAAATTAGATGTGTATGTCGCTTAAACACGCCATGGTATGGCGAAGATAAGTGAATAATGGTTGAATAAATGAGACGACAGCTTTGTTACTGACTAAGATCAGCAGGTTTCTAGGCCAGTATTGTTTATTAAAAGACCGATCATCATCAAAAACAGCTGCGTCTAGTTTTGAACCATTGAAAACATTCTGACTTTTCTCAAGAAAGAAAAACCATTCTGATCACTAGAAGAATGTTATCATTATTGTCTTTTGGATATTGAAGTAGACATCGTACGAGCCAGCTGTCACCAATTTATTGTTATAAAAAGTCCACTCACAAAACTGTGCTAAGATCAAATTTCTATTTTATCCCTTATTAGTTATTCGTTCTATGACAGGTTATAGACTATCAACTATTTAAGGCTGTAATAAACCCTTTCTGAAGGCTGGGTGGAGTGCCTGAAGATGTAAACTTTGATGACTTAGTACAAGACACCAAGATGTTTCTCTATGTGATGGGCTACAACAAGGATTCTCCCATGAATATCTCAACTCAGAGACTTTTCCGTCTACAACATCTTCTAGACATCCACAACAAGTCTTTTGAGGAAGCTATGTATCAGGTGAGAGTTCAGCAAGGTACAAATAGTATTACGCTACAAGGTCGGTAGGTGTTTAGGGTAAATGACAGTTCCCTACGAGGATTTCCGAGCGTGAGATTTCATGGGAGTTTCGTTCTGTTCCTGGTGTGTTGCATACTAACTTTCCACCACACTACCAGCAACAGAGAAAAGGATTTATTTATAAAAATAAACACATCTGCCTTAAAAAATAAGGTTGCGAATGACACAGAAAAAAATATAGGTACACTCAACCTTTTAATGTTTCATGGATAATAATTTTCAAAAAGGATCTGTCCAAATCATATTGTTTCCAAAAGATCACAAAACTTTTTGATAATATGTTCCTCTAGAACCAATAAACAATCCAATCGCCTCCATTTTTGAAATTTTGCTTGAAATTTTCAAAGGTAGATTCATAATTTTTTTTCTTTTCCTCATTTACTTCATTAGGTTGATTTAGGTTTATTTCAAATCGAATTGTTGGATCGAGAATTATCCCTTTGTTTGTTTCTCTTTCGATCAATAAAATATCTACTCTCTGGTGCTTCCGTTAGAAGAAAGACGGTGTAATTCATGCACTTTCCATGAATTATACCTTTTTCGGAAGGCATTTGCATACTTATTTCTTATTTTGTGGTGCCTTGTGTTTCTTAGAAGTTCACCAAACAGACAGAAGCCAAGGGCATGTGCATTGCATTGTGCAAGGGTTTCAATCTCACCACAGGCATGCCTGCAGCGGTTATTGCCCTGACTTCTGCCGTGGAGGACACACATTGGCACCACATTTGCAACCATTTTTCTACTTAACAGACATTTTTACACATTTTTATATATTTTTGCTGTGTGTAGATTTGTTGAGAGCCTACTCTGATGAAACTCCATACCGGTACCATTTTAAAAATTTTTATGTGCTGGTAATAATTTCATGATTGTGATCGGTAAATTTATTAAACTCCAGCTTAGTTTAATTCTTTTCTGTGAGTACTGTAACAACTTTCTCGTCTACAAATCAGCTACAGCAGGCTACTTACTGTGTTTAGTGTTGCGAAAAACTTTTAGAATTTACAATTATCTTTGAAAATTGCACACAGTCTTTCAGAAAGAAGAAATCAGTTGATGGTTTGCTTGCAGTTGAGTCAGCCTTGCTCTGAAATGCTGGTTTCTTGCACGATCAGAGGCCAGTTTGCAGATTGCCTGCAGATCTTTGAAACATCAAAGAGTCATTTTGGCTTCTGTTGTTCCTTTAATTATCAGATGTCGTCACAGGACAACTCCCCTTTCATGTAAGTAGACTAAAACACTGATAGAAAAATTAACCAACAAAATCTTGGAGTTTTAGTTGGTTAGCAGTTTGACTAAATTATATCCAACACAAATTAAAATATTGTTTAAAAAAGTCTAGGGGTTTAAAAGTAGACAATAGTTATTTGTTATTTGTGTAACAATGTGCACTTTGCGCTCCTATTACACATTATATTTTTCCTACAGTTACAAGAAAGCATATATAAAATTAGTCTTTCAAACAAAAACAACATGTTTTAGGTTAAATCCAAGCGTTGAACAAAAATAGAATGTTAACACAAAACAACAGGTTAAGTGGGGGTTGCGGATTTTTATCCCTCTGGAATTTTACCCCCTGGGCAAACGTGACGTCACAAACCAGGGGGTAAAATTCCGTCCGCGAACTTTTGAGTTTCGCGACATCAGTTCAATGGATTAAACGTACCCCCCAACCCCTACTGCTACTGTTTTAGCAGATTATGTAATTTTTTTATTTATATAAACTTGGTCATAATCATAACTGTACAGACATGTGCGAGCCAGTCGCGCTCGCCGAAACGCTTTTAATCAGCTGGATGCGTTCTCAGCTGGTCCAGAGAGAGGAGTTAGTGTTACAATGCAACCAGCTGTTAATGACTACTTTGCATCCACAGACCACAGCGCAGGGATCAAGGTACTGGTATGCTTCACTTTATATTGTCTGGTTTATAACATTTAAATGAGACAATTTTTTTAAATGGTCTAGACGTGAGTGCCAATGCCAGTTTTGTGTGGAAAAACACTCAAACACTTTAGGGGAAGAGTCCAAGCCCCTTTCCCAAATTTTTATTTTTTAGGGATTTTAAAAAGGACTATATATTATTGACTTTGGAAATCATACCTGAAAAGTATTAATTAGATACTCTAAGTTGTGTGCTAGCTTAACTTATAGTAGAGCAAAAATTACAGAGGATGATGGCTTTCACAAAGCTTCCTTTTAAACATCATTGTTTGAGCTGACAAGTAATATCTAACTCGACCTTTTAAAACCTGTAATATGATGTGTAAATTTAGCATTTTTTAAACACCTATTTCTGTTGTAATATACTTATAAATTTACCACGGTTTATTCAACCACCAACAAAATAGCATCCTTGATTCAACATAAAATATATAGGAGAGAATATTCCGTTTTTAAAATTTAAATTTAATTTAAAAGCTGTAATGGTGTAAATTTGGAGATAATTCCAGTTAAAAGTTATATACTTAATTAAGTAATTAAGCGTGTAAAATTACTAAGATGCAAATTTTAACTAATTTTAATCAACATTAGTGTGATGATGAAGTCAGTAAACTCAGATTTTAATAAAGAAAAGTAAAATAAAATTTTAAATTAATTAGCTCTCTAGTAGGGTATAGTTTTTCACAATTAATTGTTAGTTATACTGTATATTTTTGTGGTGTTGCAAGGTCTTGGTTCACAACTACATAGACTACCCCAGTGGACTGGAGGTTCGTAGTACGCTGGACGTTGGTCGAGAGACTTTTGTCAGTATCACACCAAAATCTCGATTCGGCTTTGAGGAATTACGAGAGCTGTCGCCTACATTACGCAAATGCTTCTTCCACGACGAGATCAAACTCAAGTACTTTGCCTACTACAGCTTCAAGAACTGTCTGATAGAAGCTCGCATGGACTCCGTTATTGAGACTTGCAACTGTTTGCCTTTCAACTATCCAAAACTGAGTAAAACCAATGTTTGAATCTTTTAAACACTTCATTTGAAATGAACAAACAATGAATAGATTTTTTTGTAATTTTTTAAGAGGGTTCTACCCAGGAATTTCAGTATGGCGGCTAAACATGCCTCTACTGTATATGGTACAAGCACTCAAAACTCTAAAACTAATTTGTTTCCAATGATTGTGTGCTTTTTGTGCTCTTAACATATCAGAGTTTGCAACGGATTAGAATAAATTTATGCTTAACCCTTGAAGCTAAAATCACATGAGAAAAAGGCTAATTTACGGATTTTCAAAAATATTTGGTAAACACTTAAAGAAACAATTACGAAGTTTCAGTTCATCGAGGCCATGGTTTGGATCTTTGTGAATATTTTACCGTTTATTTCAACTTGATAAACACTTAAATAATGCCACGAGGTTCTTTTTTGTAGGACCATGTTTGCGTGGTAACCAGCTGGAGGGTGGAACCCTCTTAATTAACTCTTTTTGGTAGGTATTTACAAACATGCTATTTATCTCAATGCTAATGCTACGTTTAACCAACAACTTTCTGATTAATATCAAGCACTAGATCCTCTCCAGTATCTATCTTGGCAAGCTGTGATGATTATTTTGATTACAGAAGTTAAAATAAAGTAATATCAAAACATGTCAAACATTTCATACAATTCTGTATTCTTTCTTTCAGATAATGTAAAAACGTGTTCACTTGGAGACCACATCTGCTTGAAGAAATTCACGAGTAAGTATAACATAACGTATGTAGTCAAATTCATGAACAAATGTTCTGGTAAATTTGTCACATCACAAAACATAACCCACCAACACTTTGTTAGGGTTTTATCTATTGGAATAGAAATATAATGGGATGTAAAAAATATACAAGAGTTAATGTAGATATTTTTAAGGATATATAAATGCTTCTATTGACTATTAAAACACTAGTGTTTATATTGACACTAGTGTCAATGATTTTACTGAGCCAAGTGTATTAGACAGGTTCCTAACATAAGGCACTCGCAGAGCAAGAATATTTGACAAGTGGTCTACTACCGCTGCCGCTACTTAAATAGTAGTTGCTAATTTCCGAGCAGAGATGCCCACACATTTGTCACTAACTGAGCAGTCTGTTGTTGCTTTGGTGTGTGCAAAAGACCGACATGGAGCAAGAAGCAACAAGCATTGACGTTCGCTGAGTAACAAAGTAAAACACCCATTGACCCTGTGATTCGGCAAGTAACTGCTCGGCTCCCTGTGGATACCAATGAGCGGACCCGTATACAGTTTAGGATTACCACTGTATGGAGACCAAGAAAAGTAATAACAAATCGTCTTTTTATCAGATGACTGGGACAATAAGTCGGATAGTACCATAACAGTGATGATACAAGGCTCTCACATAGACTGCCTGGAGGAATGTACCTACTTCAGTTACGATATCTCATCAACAACGGGAGATCTAGAGGCACCTCAGTTCAACGGAATCACCAGGTTTGTTTTGATAACATAGCATTGAACACTTTAAACTAATACTGTTAAAGCTAAGCAGTTAATTGGAACTCACCTCAATTAATGGGCGTCCATCTAACTGTTCCATTGGGGGGATGGGGGTACTTGAGGCACAATCCTTGATAAAAAGGGGGGTTCAGGGTCCTCTGTTGGAATATTTTAAAAATGTATGTACAAAATGGTCAGTTAAACAAATTTTCCTTTATGTACCTACTGTATATTTATAGATGTTTTTGCATAATATTTTCAATTTGTGAAAAAATTTGTTGGGTCTTATAGAGGGGGTCTTTGCCCCCATTGCCCATATTGACCCACACCTCAATTGGTGCTCACCTAGTACTGTAATGGTAATAGTATTCAGAAGGTTGCCATTTTGATCCTGAGAAGATACAGAAGCTTTATGGTGGTATGAAACTGGTCCCAGCTGTTTCATTGTGCTTATGCGCCAATTGAATTTTCTTCTAGTATTTTTGTAAGGGAACGGTCAAAATCCTGGTACCTATCGTTACTATCTAATGTCACCCGTTTGTTAGATAGCATCATTAATTGATAGCTCAAGGACAAATGGCATCTGGGTCTACAAACAATCTTGCTTAGAATAGAACCACGAATCTTTAGATTTGAAGGCAAGCAAAAATGTTTATGTTTAACTCTTCTTAACACATTCGTGGCAGCATGGGGTCAACCGCTTCTACACTGAACCCTAATGTCATCCTGATGGGTGCGCTCGCTCCTAAGCTACAATGATTTATTTTTAAGCCTGGATTTGAGCTAGAAATCTGAAACTTCCCACTGCTCAATAGTATATACTGTATATTTTATGAGGACGTGGATAGTGCTTCTTCGACGGTAGGCGTGGTGCTCTCAGTAACTAAGTCACTAATCAGTGTCAAGGTTGAGCACTTGCGCAACTGTTTTGGTGTTAGTTTCTCTTGCGAAATGTCGAACCCAGATGATCCGGACTCTGTATTTAGTGACGGGGAAGGTGATTGGACAAGTGACGATGAAACTGACGTTATTAGTAAGAATGTGAGTGATAAGGAAGATGTGATGTTAAACTTTCAGGGAGGATGGCCATGAGGTACACGGAAACGCCTCCCGCCACAAACGTATTAATCTTTGGGCTGAAAAATAAATGGTCCTAGATAATTAACCAGCTGATCTTAGTCAGTAACAAAGCTGTCATCTAATTCATTCAACATTCATCGCTCACCACTTTGACGTGTCAACGTAAAAAAAAAATATCTAAACTCATTGCTACTGCTTTTTAAACATTATTTTTTATGTTTAGTGGCACAAGAAATGCCTCAAAGAATGAAGTGGTTGTCCATCTTTTCTACGACGACCACATCACATCGCGACATCAACGGCAAACATCTTACGCTCAACAGCACCAGTTGGGTAAGTGTTTTTATAATTCAATGATTTGTAATTCTTGTTCTACACATTATAGCAATAACAACTATCACTAATTTCCTTTCCTATGTATAAAATAATAGTAGAACATTTTATAGTTCGGCCGCTTAGAAAGCGACCTCCTCCAGCATTGGTTTAGCATAAGCGCGCAGGTCGTTTTCTAAGCGGCCGAACTATAGTATGTTGTTTGTGTTGTATATTCAGTAAAAAAAATAAAAAAAATTATTGATCCATTTCTATTATTAAAAAAATATTTCATATTAGATGAGATTCTGTATAGCCTAATTTACTCCATGTTGGTGGAAAGTTTAGATACTAAGGTGTAAGGCAGGATAAACTTGAATGAGTTCGTGAACCAGCATGATCGGGCGATGGGAACGGGGGTTTATGGGGTAAAAAATAGATTTTTCTCATTTTTGACCCTCAAAACACAAAATTTCCCAATTTCTCTCTAGACCATTTTAAAGAGCCAAAAAAATTAGTATATTGAAGTGTTTATGTGCAGTTATTGGTAACGAAGAAAATTTAAAAAATTGTAAATTCAAAATTCCTATGTTATTCTTATGGAGAATATTGTAAAATATTGTAGTTTGCTTGTTTATGGATATATTTTGATCAAACTTGGCAAATTTATTCATTGTATACTAAGCTATTAATATTTGAATAAAAAACATACTTTATTAGCCTCCCTGTAGCAGCAAACCTAGGTACACGTTTAACCTAATGTTATTTAAATAAATTTAAATGTATATCAATTCAGGCATGGAAATTAGTCTGCAGGTTTGCTGCGGCGGGGGTATTTATTACTTAATACTGATATTCTAATAATAAAAAAATTATAGTTCAGAGCAGTAAACATAAATGTAACAGAAAACTACTGACGAACTTTGTTTTTATGCATTTTACAGCAATGGTAGGAGGAATATTCGGACTGGTGTTAGGTTGCAGCGTCATCAGTATTATTGAGATGATATATTTCTACACCATCAGGTTCCTACAATATCTACGCTCTAGCACTCTACCGCATCCTGCCCTAGAGGAAACTGTGAGTCCGCAGAAAATAGTGAAACCTCCTACATTAGTCAGACCATACAGACCCACAACAGGAAACAATGTACCTGCTACAACGGACTTCATCTTGTAGTGTGATGTGGTGAGACTATTGTTAACCAAGGGTGTCCAGAAAACCAAGAACACCATGAAAAGGTCTGTGAATTTTACAAGGATTTTGTTAAGAAAAGAGACATTTTAAATAATATTCATCAGTCTAGGGCCGAACACCTACTCATTGTTAGGGTTCTGTTGGTTCTCTTTAAGAAAATGAATGTTGAATAAGAAAACCAGATGGTTATGGGTGTTGCCCATAGTAATTCCGGTAGATAATAACATTTGAATAAAAAATATGAATGAATACAACCATGCAGAAAAGTAAATTAATAAAGCTTTAAATGACTGTAGTTTTACTTCCCTCTCCCAACATCAAGGGATGTTTTCGGCTATTCAGAACCTACATTGTTTGTACTACCGTTCCAAATATTGAATTCTTGTGTTTAAATTATTTATATTTAGTGATTGCTGAAGATGATCCAGCGACAGCCTCAATGAATCGCTTCATTTTGTTGATGTAAAAAATCAAAAGTTCTACTACATTATTTGAATTAAAAACTAGCTAGCTCTTTGCCTTTGCTAAAGCACCCATTGGTCCAATCTTAGAATCTACAAACAGGTTGTAATTTTAGTGAATTGTGATTGAAATGTTATTTTCATTTATTAATTCTTCAGTCAGGATTTTCCAAACTCACAATACAGTACTTGCATTAATAGCTGTGAGATCTGCATTGCAGTTGATGCTATAAATAGCTGAGTGGACATAGTGCTCTACTTGTAATCGGAAAGTTACTGGTTCAACCCTGAGAACAAGTAAATTAATAAATGATCTTGACTTAAGAACCATCTGATCTTAGTCAGTAACAATGTTTCCATATAATTCATTCATACACTCATCCTTCACCTTAAAATAGGTACACACCATGATGATGTATTGTAAAAATGTAATCTAATCTATAATATGACCTGCAAGGTTGGACAGACAGTTATAGATAGATTATTTTACAGTGAGTTTATACTTTACAAACAAGTGACCAGAAAAAATCTTTTTTATAAGTTAACAGATTAAAAGGTTAAAATAGTTAACCAATCAAAAAGTCTACGCCTGTTGATGGAAAGTGTGAAGTCTTCTATACATTTTGAAATTTTCAAATATAGCCGGATCAACCTAACCCACCACATATCCTCAACTTGACCAGAAGAAAATTATAATAAAAACTATGGTTATAAGATATGAGGATATATAAAATTAATAATTTGGGATGGCAAATGTGTTTATTTCTTCTGTAAAAAGGCATGCGACCATTAGAAGTAAGTATAATATAAAACATTGAACAAAAAGAAACACGTACAGAAAAATAGAACTCATGCCCTATCCACATACAAATTAAAAATTAAGACACAATGTTTATTTATTAAAAAGGTGTTTTTATACTTAAAATAGGTATAATGTAGCTTAAGGGTGTTTGGTAAAAAATGTTATGTATTTTTTGTTATTGTTCAGTTGTACTAAAAATTAGAGATACAAATATATAAGACAAAATTATTTATTTTGAATATTAAGCGAGATATAAAGCTTGAAAGTAGTAAATTTTTCATCTTTGGTACAAGTTCACAGGGAGAATGGGTAATGCGATTCTCACCAAAATTGACATTCAGGTGTGTAAAAATAAGATAATAATCACTAACTATTTAAAATTATAAAATTTTAACATTTTTGAAAATTTGGTTTTTTATAAAAAATTTAAATTAAAATTTTTTTTATTTAAAAAATAGCTGTTTGTTTTTGGAAAAAAATTATCTGTACCGGTATGTTGGAATTTAAAAAAATGAGATATGTTAACTCGTTTGGGCTGTGAATTCGTACCTTTAATGCCTTGTGCTGTCGGAGCACTACTCGTTGAGAGTGTGTACAGTAACACCGGGGCTTTAGAATACAACGATGAACGTATTCTTTCAATGTTAAAAGATGTTTATAATTACGGGATGTTAAAGCACTCTACAGCCCCGGTGTTAGTGTACACACTTTCAACGAGTAGTGCTCCGACAGCGCAAGGCATCAAAGGTACGAATTCACAACCCAAACAAGTTTACATATCACATTTTTTTAAATTTCAACATACAGGTACATTTTTCCCAAAAACAAACAGCTATTTTTAGACAGTAGTTAGTGATTATTATCTTATTTTTCCACACCTGAATGCCAATTTTGGTGAGAATCGCATTACCCATTCTCCCTGTGAATTGGTACCAAAGATGAAAAATTTACTACTTTCAAGCTCTATATCTCGCTTAACCCATTGGGGAAGGAATTGATGCGCTACCTGCAGCACCTACTGGCGGCAATTAATTTTACCGAATTTGTAGACTTTTACTCTAACTGCTGTAGAAAGAAAACCTTAGGTAATAAATTAATAATTCTTTCACCATTTTGTTCACAGTAAAATTGTCTACAGAAAAGTGGTAATTGGATAGTCAAAGTTCTAAACTAAATATATATATATATATATATATATATAAAGATTATAAAAATAAAAATTTTAAAAACAATATTTTGAAAGTAAACTTGATATACAAATTCCAAGATTAATCCAGACACCAAATAACACTACTATTATAAAGTTCAATCGATTCCCTACGTAGAAAAATCAAAAGTTGTGTGCTTTTATAAGTAATAACATTTAAAGAAAATTGTTTGTTTACCTTACCGCAGCTGATTTTCGTGTGATATGTGGTTTCCATGGCAACACAAAATTGTTTGTTATTCGCTAAAATAAATGAGTAAATACGCAAATCAAGAAGCAAGATATTTATAAACATTATAATAGTAAGAAGAAACAAAAAGGACGAAAAATAATAATAACTAAATAACTAATGGCGCTGCCTAGCGGTGACACGAGCGGCACTTGTAAGTCGGCCGCCGGGCCTGCAGCGGCCGTACGAGTAACGCTCGTAAGTCGGCACCAATGGGTTAATATTCAAAATAAAAAAAAATTACCTATATAAAAGTATTTATAGTTTTTAGTACAATTGAACAAAAACAAAAAAATCAGACATGCAAATTTACCACCAAACAACAACACAACAAGAACCTACATTTTTAAGAAAAAGATGTTATTTTTGTCAAGAGTACGCAGGCTAGTTTGTTGACGAGAGTGGGGTCTGACAATTTTGGGGTTGTTTAAATAATGACAAAACTACCAAAATGAAGGGACAGGAGCAAAAATGCAAATGACCTGCAGCTAAAATAAGTCCAATAATATTTAACTTCAATGACGTTAAAAAGACTAATGGTAAAACACAAAACCTCACCTTAGCTGGGTTTCCTAAAACTAAACAGCCTTAAATTTTATTTCCAAAAGGGAGGATGACTACTGATTTAGATAAACAGTGTGACAGTTGGGAGTTCTTGTCAGTCCCTGTTTTCAACTAGAAATTGGTTTTTGAATTAATCATCAAGCCAAAGACCTCCCCAAGGCTAGGTAAGTAAGCACTTTGGGAAAAATTAACACACATTTAAAAAATACTTCTTAGAAATAAATTTGCTTAAAAAACCTAAGATAGAGTGTATTAGATAAATTATAAATTTACCTTACAATGTTTTACTATTTACATTCCTGAAAAATTTAATATCTCTAAATACATAAATTTTCAATATATTCACAAACAGAGGAAATGATGCGTTTTAAATCCTTCATGTTAAAACATTACACACTATTTTTACCAATAGTCATTAAAATTTGAAATCAACGGCTTCTTCTGTCTCTCCTTTCACGTTCGTGTGATGATTTAGAGGATGAGTAACCTCTATCATGACGCCTATGACTGCGATCATCATGATATCTATTATCAAGCTGACTCTCATGACGTTTATCATGGTAGGGGTGGTCTCTTCTGTTTCTTCTCTCTTCGTAATGATCATTTCTTCTGTCCTTCTCTGGGGAGTTACGTCTACCTCCACTCATATCCTGCATACTCGGGTACATACCAGGGCTCATCATACCCATAGGATTCATACCCATAGGATTCATCATACCCATAAGATTCATTGGGCCCATTGGACCCATGGAACCTCCTGCAAAAGAAGGCATTCCCAGTCCCATTGGTAACATCTGATTTCCCAATTGGAGCAGCTGTTCATAGTTGGCAAAACCTGGAACATTCTGCGTTTCTGAGTAGTTTCTTGAATCTCTACTTTGGCTAGAGCGTCCTTGTAGATCATTCCTCATTGAATGACCGTTGAGTGAACTTTGTCCTCGCAATGCGTTCACTTCAGCCCATGACGAAGGTTCCTTGCTATCTTTCTCCTTATCTGAACGTCTTTTATCTCTGTGATTCCTTTCTTCTATTCTTGGAGGATGGACTTCTTGCTCAGTGAACTCTGTTATGTGAGTGTCAAGCACTGGAATGTGATGCAGTCTGCTACGACCAGACAGGTTTAAGGGTCTGTTAAACAGTTTCTCTCCTCTTAACAGTTCCAAAGCATAAGGCACAGAGCATTCGTGCTTAAAGACAATAAATGCAAACGATTTGGGTCGTCCATTTGGATCTCTTGGTCTTCGAACACTTTCCAAAGGACCAGCCTGCAACAAATTTTAACTAGAAATAGGTAGAAACCCCTGTAAAAAAAACCCCCAAAAAAGTGAAAAGTAACCCCCCAATCATAATAAATTCGTACATGACTAAGCCATATTGGTTGAAGGGGAACACCAATCTAAAAATTCTATCTCTAGAAATTTCCAAATTTTAGATTATTGTAAAGAAAATGGTTTGGGCATCATGTTTAATGTTTCCCTACTTTTTTCCTTAGCATGTATTAGCCTAAAAAAAAAAAAAAAAAAAAAAAACTGACAACTATGCACTGTTTTAAAGTATTATTATTGTTTAGGTGCGTATTCTAACCCAAATATTAATGATAAATAATTAGTGAAGACTAGAATGAGATGCCTTATTTACGTAGAGCCTTGTTACTGCCTAAGACCAGCTGTTTCATGAGCCAGGACCACTATTTATTGAAAATCGAATGATCAAGACAGCTGGTTCCAGTTTTAACTATCAAAAGGATATAGGTAGTAATGTAACAAAAACAACAGTTTTTAATAGCCTAGGGCCTACATGTTTTGCAGGTGTAAAGTAGTTCTTTACCCCCTAATAATTTTTAGCCCCTTGGTCAAACTCAAGTTGTAAACTTCAAATGTAAGCAATTGCATGTATCGTAATTACATATCATCGATTGATTTAATCAGTTGTAGCTTATTGTTGCATTCTCTGGTTAATAGTTTGACATAACCATAGTATAATGTACACAATAATACAATGATTAAATCACTTACTAAAATACTGCTTGTTTGCATTAGCAAAATTGAAAATAAGTTAGAAGCTGTTTTGAGAGGTTACCTTTACATAAAAAGTATTGGTTTCTGTTTTCTAATATAGTTTGTTAATTCGTTTTGCAAAATGATGAAAAATATATAGTTGACTAAATGGCAAGTGTCTTTTTTAACCCTCTCTCATTTTCCGACCTCAGCTTCATCTTGGTCGTGAAACTTAAGTTTGGGTGGTGTATACAGTAAAACCCCTCATATCCGGCCTACATGGGACCGAGCTCCTGACCGAATAACATTTTGGCCAGATGAACCAACCTATTATTAAAAAGACAATTTGTATCTAATTACAACTTGTGATTGGTTAAAAGTAGTGTTTAAGTCTCTTTTGAGAATCTACTAGCTTAACTGGGTAGTGAAACCGAAACCGCTAAAAATGTATGAACAGGAAACAGAGAAACCGTGAGATAGCTCAAATTATGGAGACTACATGTACAGCATGGGAAATATTTTGGTATCGATTCCGGGAAGTGACGGGATAAACGGAGGACCAGGAATTCCGAGGCAGGATATTAGGGGTTCTATATATAGGCGTGCTGTATAAGAGTGACCTTCATATAATACCACAGTACCCAAACGAAACTAACAAGGCTACTTTTAGTAGCCTGCTGATACCAACCATGATTTAAGTCAGTCTGATCAATCATCAATTATTGAGATGGGGACGCCACCTAGGTGCGTATTTTAACCCAAATATGAGTAGGTGTAAGTCAGTGTTCCATGACTCCACCGTAAGTGAAATAAACAATGGTTGGGAGGGAAAAGGGGACTGTATATAAATATTAGTACGGTACTAGTGCTATTTAACATTTTTAGTGTGAAAAACAGTTTTTGAGAGATAAAAAAATAAGTATTTTTGTGAGATCAAAAATGAAGTATTTTTGTGAGATCAAAAATAATGTATTTTTGTGAGATCAAAAATGAAGTATTTTTGTGAGATCAAAAATAAAGTATTTTTGTGAGATCAAAAATGAAGTATTTTTGTGCGTCCAGTCACCAGTGACCGGCGATTTTGTACGTCATTTTTTTTAAATGGCTGGAAACACAGTTTGCGAACTGGATCCTTATTTCTTAAAACAAAAGATAAGATTTTGCATTAGGCCTAAACAAAATTTCAGGCCCTCGGGTGTACCTAGGCCTACTGACATTTTAACTGCACTAAATGTGTTTAAAGATCTTCTCATAAGAAAACCTACAGGACACCTTTTATGAAAGCTTTGCCGATATATAAATTATTGGCGATTGTTACAAATCATCTGTCTTGGTTAGTCAAGCGAGAATATCCAAACCAAGATACCATTAACAAAAGGTCGACATTAGATAATACCAGGGTTTGGACTGTTCCCTTAACAAAAATAAATAAATGACACAAGCAAAGATATAGGCTTACATGCTAGCCTATAAATCTTTATAAGTAGTATCATATCATTAAGTATCATCATTAACATAGCCTGAAATTAACTACTCGGTTCACTATAACCTACCCTTTACCATCCAAATCTAACCTATCTTCAAAACACTTAATACAGCCTTAAATCCGCATAAAGCCCGACCTGCCTTCCTCACATACCTAAATAAGATGTGATATTTAGTAAACTAATGCTCTAAATCGTCCTCTAATCCAGCTACTAGGGGGTTTTGACATGGATATTTATAGGCATATGTACTACACACTCTTCAAATCTCACTTGCACTTAGGAATAATATCTGTGGGACAGCAGCGGATTGCTACATCCATATAGACTAAACTAAATACTTATGAAAATGGCGTTAAGAATCATCGAAAATCTACAACCACAAGATCATTGTAAACCATAGGCTACTTCATCAAAAACAAAATCCTTACCGTACCGAACTTTACACCCTTGATCGAAGCTATTTAAACCTCCCAAAGCTTAGGGAAAACTTTCACAAATATAACTTAAGAAGCAAAAAAATAAACTACGATATCCAACAACGCAGATTGTAAAAAACCAGCAAAACACCACAAATCATGGGATCAAAAGTTTTTAAGAGTCCTTGGAGCCTAGACATAACTCATAAAACAATTTAAAAACTACAAAGCAAATTTCTAATCTCACAGGATACTAGATATTTGTATTACAATCACTTTGGTATTTGAGTGGCTGTTTGAAAATAACAAAATTAACATTGCTCTTAAATGGCGGACAAATCCAAGATGGCCGTTGGCTTCCATGTACTCCCTTGGAAATACATTCCAAACAACGAACAACATTTCTAATCTCACAATAACTTATTTACATTCTAATCATTTTGGTGTTTGAAAAACTATTTTTGGATGATAATTAGCTCTTCAGCAGCGGTTTGAAATCATCCAAGATGGCCGCTAGCCTCCAAGGACTCTTACTGCTCTCCCAGAACATATAAAACTAATAAAATCTACAAAAAACTTTTTTCAAAACACTCAAAGAATATCTAATCCAAAAACCATATTTCAAATCAGATGAGTTCTTCCAAGAGCACACTGCTCACCATAAAAACAGGCCTCAAAACAAACCCACAATACACCATACACACACACACCAAACACTACAATGACACACCATTTCATAAGAAAGTATTCAAGTAAAGCAATCAGGGGCTTCAGCCAGGGTGGGGGCCTCAAAAGAATTTTTTTTTCTCGTGGAAAATGAACTTTGACGATAACTTAATTCCTTAGAATAAAGAGAGATTTTTAAGCCACACTTCTATTCTACTGATCCCCAAAAGATCTGCCCATTGAAAAATTGATTTTGAAGCGATAACTTATGCCAAAGTGATGTTGATTTTACCTGGAGACATGACAGCCAATGTTTTTTTTTACCTAAACTGAAGTTAACGAATTTTGCCCTATACCAGTAGAATTGCTCAATAACTAAAAAAAAAAAAAAAAAAATTATTTAAGCCCTACCGGTAGTGTCCTAGGAATCGCTAGGGGCTCAAAAGCGCATTCTAAAAATCCGCAACGATGACATCATAGTTTAGTTCAAAATTCCTCCGTTAACAGCGTTGTAGTAGAGAGCACAGCGCGTAATTTTTACTTCACTGTTAGGCCTAGTTAATTATAAAATTAAGAAAGATTATAAAAGTAATTTTAAAATGTAGGTAGTGTTTCAATTATTAAATTAAACTGTCATAACCTAACCAAACGTGCTGATAATGAAAAAATCGAATGAAGGTTTACTAATCCAAAAAATAGTTTTGTTCATAAAATAAAATTATAAACGCCTAAAATTCAATTTTATAATTTTTTAATTATAAAATTAAACTGTTATAACCTAACCAACCAACCAAACTTGCTGATATGAAAAAAAATTTATGACAAAAAGTTAGTGCTGCCAGCGGGATTCGAACCCAGTATCTTCGGTTTATCAGCTCGGTACGCTATCCACTACACCACCGAGGCCGATGACTGAATACCGTATCGTTGCGGTAATGGTGTTCCCTCAAGAGGAGATCTGACAGCTCTACTACAACGCTGTTAACGGAGGAATTTTGAACTAAACTATGATGTCATCGTTGCGGATTTTTAGGATGCGCTTTTGAGCCCCTAGCGATTCCTCTAGTGTCCTAGCCTATATTTGCCAATATTCTTAACATTTGTACAATGACTGAATAAGTTAAGTAGGCTAACATTTAAGTTAGTCAATACTTATGCCTACCCAGTAGGCCCACCAGCAACATCTTTAAGTTTAAACTGTTTTCGACTTGTCTTCTTTATTTACAAAAGTAATATTTTAGTCTAACAATTTAGGGTTAAAAATATAAGTTTGTAATAACATAGGTATATAGTATAATATGACATCAAAATAAAAAATTGTAAAATAGGCCTAGCCTAAATTTAACTGACAAAACTTTTTGTTACTTAAAAAACCGGGGAACCGGACGTTTTTAAAACGAGCCAAAAGTGCCGACGTCCGGCCGACCGGACGTTTTTAGAACGAGCCAAAAGTGCCAATGTCCGGCTGACCGGACGTTTCGTAATGATTGAACAGTTGTCATAACAACCGAATGGATACTCGGATTCTTTTAACCCATATATTAACATTGAGTCGAAAGTTACTAGATGCGATACATAGATTTTCGTTGGTCGAAATATCGAAAATTCGATTTTTACAAAATTTTAACCTAAAAATCGCCAGATCGCGCTCGGCATTTTTAGCGCGACCTTCGGGAAAAATCATCGGCATTTTTTGAGCGTTACTTTTATTTCTCGCCTGGCACTCTAAGGGTTAAAATCACCGAATCACTCGGTGAGAGTAATTTAACCGAACCAGGATAGAATAACCGAATTGTTCTGTTTAGCATAAATAACCGATTGATTCAGTTATTTTCATTCGGTGATTACCACCACTAGGCTATCAATCCTCCAATGTTACTTTGTTAGGCCTAGGCTATCTAAGTTATGTTAGTTGGGCTAACTTTTTAGTCACATAAACTTTCAACCGTAAAATTTAAATATAGGCCTACCCTGTGAAGGGTTAGCAGGCATTTACATGCATTGAAGTGTGAACAAATGAAATGTTATTACATTAGCTTATCAACAAACCTGAAGAAATAGTTCATATAAGACTTCATCAGATACTTGGTCAGAGATATTTCCACACCATAGGGTACGCTCGTCGGACTCATCTCTGTCCATTCTCATCATGACTATTTCACACTTGCTAATAAAATAGCAACTAGATAATGTTACTAATTATTTAAGTTTTAAAATGTTAGAAACATTACTATTACAAATAAATTTCTAACCTATCTAGATAAATGTCATCATCAGGACAGGAGGGGAGGTGTGTAGTGTTTTTTTAAGTGTTTTTGACGTTTTTGATTTAGTGTAGTAGTAGTAGTAGTGGTGTGGTAGTGTTTACATTTTTTGATGTTTTTCAAGCTTTTTTTGGTGGTTGCACTGAGCTATAATTCTAACTGGATGTAGCACTGAATGTCAAAGATGCGTGTCGCCAGCCGCCATGTTTGCGTGAGTCTGGTGTCATAAGAAGCCATATTATTGCTATAACTATTATTATACTTGGCTTAAAATACCTACTTTGTATGGTCGCCATTTCAAAGAAAATTATTAAAGTATTAAAAGTATTCAATTATGACAAAAATACTCACTGCTATACCAACCTAGTTATAAGAAGCCATGTTATTGCTATGGTAAGAAAACTTACTGCTATACCAACCTAACAAAATCAGCGACACGCTTTTGACAGACTTCTGCCATGGCAGTGCTACCTCCAGGTTGGCTCGTAACAGTGCCATCTAAATCTAGGCAACTACCCAACTACGTTGACTATAAACTAAACTTTACCATTGAGTATGTTCTAGGTGCATAGTAAAATGGTAGGCAGAGGATACACGTCCGGTAACCAGACGTGGATTAGACGTCCGGCAATTACTGTCATAACCTAACCTAACCAACCAAACTTGCTGATAATGAAAAAATCGAATTAAGGTTAAATTCTTTCTCTATAAAAAAAATTATAAATGCCAAAAATTCTAATAAAAGATGTACAGTTAAGAATAAATCGTATTCAATGCAAACTCTGACAAAAAGTTAAAGTCAACAATGGGATTCGAACCCTGGACCTCTTGCATATCAGCCGAGCACCTTATCCACTACACCACGAACACCGATGGCTGGTCATTGTATTGTTGTGGTAAAGGCGTTCCAGGCTCCCGCAACCCCATGACGTCATTGCCGTACGCCTTATCCACGTCCGGTTACCGGACGCGTATCCTCTATGTTTTATGATATCTGATTTCTGTTTTGAAATTTGTTTTTTTTTCGGTTACGTTTATTTGTGCTAGTGTCAAATTAATATTTATCTGACGTGATTTAAGGGTGGATTTTGAATCCTGCTTTAGGGGGTGATGGTGTTTTAGCCGATACTTACCAGTGGCTGGCAAGCAGCCGAGCCCGCGAGCCGCCTAGTGTGATCCGTGCATTAGTTATAATAATATAGGTAAAGGACGAGTAAGAGAAAACACAACATTCGGGTTTTATTAAGATCAATCGATAAGAAGTTGCCCCTATAAAACAAAAAGTATTTAGACGACAATATACTTCATGTTCATCTCAAACAAGATTTTCATACGATTTTTGTTCCCAAATTTGTTTTTAAGATTTACAAAGTTAGTTATTTTTATTGTACAGAAGTGAATCTTTAATATAACCCTGTACACTTTTTGTCAGACTATCTTGACAAAAAGTTAGACCCCTAAACTGGTTCTTCACAAATAATCTTCACTGTAACCAAAGTAAAACCCAAAATATTATTCATAGCACCTCCTTAAATCTAAACCTACAATCAGTAAAGCTATTAGGTATTCATATTGATTCCAAGCTGTCTTGGCATGCTCACATAAACAACCTTTGTAAAAAGATTTCACGGGTCAGCTATCTTTTTTGGAAGCTGAGGGAATCTGTATCAGATGCGAATACCTCAGAATGACTTACTTTGGTTTATTTCAATCTCATATACCTTATGGACTGGTTCTTTGGGGTCATGCATAACGGCCGTATCAGATGTGCTTCTGATTCAGAAAAAAAGTTCTTACAACCATGGGCAGAGCTAATAGATTGGACCACTGTCGACCTTTATTTAGACAAATGAAAATTTTAATAGTAACTATTCTACATATTCTAATTTACACTAAAACTAATCTTCACCTTTTTCTTACCAGGCAAGATATACACCTACACGAAACCCGAAACAGGACAAAACTCAGTGAAACTGTCCTCTAATAAAGGCTTTATACATATCTATAAAATTTACGAAAATAAGAGCAAAAAAGCTGAGACAGGAAGATAAGCTGACCCATGTTATGTTATAGGCTTTAACAAGATTGGCAGGAGGGCTTATCAGCTGAGCCTTGTCCTGCTAAGGCAAATAGACGATCTTTGAAGGCAATGTACGTTGAAACAAAAAACACTATATGAAAATGGGCAAGTTTATTAAATACACTAGATGATTGTTTTGGCAGATTTTTTTTCATAGCCATTGAATAATCAGATACCTACTAACTGTTATTAAGTGAATGATTTTTTCACAATGCAAAAGATAACATGAAAAATTAGTGGTAGTCATGAAGTTTTACCACATTTTACATAGGCGATATGAGGGAAACTGTATTTTCAGGGTGACAGAAAAATATACTTAGCTCGTATTAGAGGATAGGATCTATATCCTATGATCTAGATGTCACGGCTATAATTCAATCAATTATACCATCAATGGATATCAATGTATTTAGAAAACCGTCGAACATGTTCACAATGAGGTGATTTATTTTTCCTCGAATGCAAGAAAAACTCTGTTTAAACTTTAAACAAAATTCACGAGAAAAACCCAAAACTCCTTCAAAATAAAGATATGAAATTCATATATCTCTACACTCTCTGCTCTCTTGCACTGAACAGGATTTTATTAAAAGTAAGCCTCAAGTGTGCTTTCCTAACTCATATTTCTTCACTATCACTTGAGCGTAAAATATGTTTGCGACGTAGCTATAGTCAAACATTTATCATACTCAAGAATATTTAACGTTTTGTTAGTAATATAATAGGCCAAAACAGGATTGCTATTAATATAATTATACCATAAACATATTTTAAAGACAACATCTATCTTTAAAATTAACAGCTTTTAAAGATGTTGTACCACTAATCTGTTAAAATTGCTACTGATGATTAATATTAAATACACTAATAAGTTTAATTAAATTGAAATGCAGTAGGTTTTCAGTATTCTCTGGTTATGGTTGATTTTGGTGTTTGTTTATTTATACAGACAATATTCATTTATATAGAAAAAGTGAATTGATTGTTTTTGATACATTTAGTACACAATATTTAATTAAATGACGCTTTTCAGCATAGCTTTTTCTAACATAATGCCGCAACGGATATTGTAGCAAGTACAGCCACCAACCTATCATTTCCTGACCCATAGACATGGTAAAACAGTAATAACAAAATTATAAACATTAGAATCGCACAATACGCTCCTTGTAATACGAATTAGTGTTACAGCTGTTTCGGTAGGCCGGGTCTGCGATGTTGCCACTTTTGTCTCGTCACGGCCTTGCGGTCGGTTAGAGGAGGCCATGCTTTAATGAATGGACACATAGTAGTTTTAAATAAAACAAATATGACTATGACTACAACATTTTTAGACAACTACGTACTGTTTTAGACAAATTTGCGATGGGATCTAAGTTAAAAAGGACTCAGTATCACCATGTGTGGTTTTGAGCTAGAACGATGTCAGGCTTTAATCTTAATTGTTGCTTGGATTGACGGCCAAACTCATGCATGTGCGTCTATGCAGTCTATGTGAAATATTGGTAAAGGTTTAATTTATTTTTGACCGTGTTTTGTGTTAATTTAATGTGTGCTAAATGTAATTTCAACACAACCACGTCAAATGGACAGATAAAATATCTCACTAGAAAGTGCCTAGCTCAAAAATGTTGTGAAATCTTGTTTGCAGGATAAACTATCACGTTTAAAATAGATGACTATGAAGAGGTGAATAAACATATAATCAAATAACAATTGTAGTGTAATTTATAGTATTTACTAGGCTCTGTATTTGAACTTACTTACTAATGATCATAAGTTTGACATGATAATTATAAAAGCAATGAAAATACACTCTGATATTTTAATCATTTGTCAAATTAATTAAATACTTTTATTGTTGTGCATTTATAATGACTAGTGGTCGTCCTGTGGTCGAAACTCGACCAAAAATATTTAATGTACAGACTTCTCTATTTTCTCCCCACACTGTAAATAAAACATGTGATTGGAATTTCTTCCATTTGTTTTGATTTTCTGTTTACATTTTGTTGTTATTTCGTCACCATCATGGCAACCCATATGGTCCATGTTAATTTTTTGAAGTTTTCAAATCCATTTTTTGTTCTTATTTGTTAGCCTATTTTAATTTTTAAAAGCATTCTGCACATCTACAGGAAAATATCTTTCCAACAGTATGCGTAGATTTTCCCTGCGATGCACGCGAGCTGAGAAAAAAGGTTTTAAAGAAACATGCTTGCCTATTAATATATAGATAGATTGTTGTACAAACCAATTCTTTTAACGGTCAAATACTAATTAAGCTTGAGGACTATATGAAAAATCAAATATTTTACAAACTCTATTTTATTATGGAATAAATATAATAAAATATATTTTCTTAGTAGTTGTCATCAAGAGACAATGAGCTCGCGTTAAGGAGAAAATGGAAGACTTCCAACAGAGGGAAGACGCAATAAAGGGGTTGTTGTCTTCAACAGGAATGACATTTTATACTAGTCATGTTTTAGCGCTTATGTCAGGATTTTAAAGTAATAGAATGGTAATACATAAAATAACAATGGAAAATTAATCGTTACGAATAATATGAGTATAACCCCCGTAAATGTGTTTATAAACGATAAGAAATTATTATTTAAATATGAAATCCGCATCGATTATCACGAGAGAATAGATGTTCGCTCGATTTTTTAATTAAGTTTTGATCTATACCAAATTATACAGTTGTAGATTTTTAAGTTTTTTTAATAAATAAAATCTTTTAATAATAAATAATAGATGAATCACATACGAAAACAGACTCAAATTAGTCTGTTGAAATGCTGGAATTCAACAACGTTAAGAGCCACAAGACGAAATGAAGGTAATTAATTATCCTCTTATTTAATTACAAGAAGAAATATATAAATATTTACTGTTAAACTTGGTATTTCCGTTTCAGTGCACACTTCCTT